GCTGGACATGTAGGGCAGCCCTGTTCAGAGGAAACTTCGACATGAGGCCCCTTCTGAAGCCAAGCCCTAAACCCCTAAACCCTAAACCCTAAACCCTAAACCCTAAACCCTAAACCCTAAACCCTAAACGCCCTAAACCCTAAACCCTAAACCCTAAACCCTAAACCCTAAACCCCTAAACCCCTAAACCCCAAACCCTAAACCCTGTACCCTAAATCCAAACCCTAAATCGAAGTACAGAACCAAAAAACCCAAATGCGAAGATGCGAGGATACCCCTTATCCTTCCTGCTTTAAGTCCTCCGCCATTATGGAGGTTTAGGGGTTTAGGGTTTAGGGTTTGGGGTTTAGGGTTTGGGGTTTAGGGGTTTAGGGTTTTGGGGCTTTGAAGTTTAGGGTTTTGGGTTTAGGATCAGGCTGGTGTCCCCCCAGACCCACATCCTTGGTGAGCCGCACGGCCCTGAGCACACTCAGCAGACGCAGCGCCTGCCTCAGTTGCTTAAGGTTTCGGGTTCAGGGTTCAGGGTTTCGGGTTAGGGTTTAGAGTTTAGGGTGGGAGGAGGACTCCTTTAAAAAAGACCCCCAAATAGTAGGATCCCCTTATAAAGGGACCCCAGTAAGGTACCCCTGATGCCGCAAACCTCTATACGAACCATTTTCCCCAAATGGCTGTTAAACCAAACTCCTACACCCCAAACCCTACATGTTCCATCGTTGCACTCTGAATCCCAGCCAGAACCAGCCCTCGCCGGAAATCCCAAATCCTCAGCCCCATTAGCCCTGTTTGGTACATGCCCGCAGCTGACCATCCAAAAACCGCAACACCTCTTCCTGAAGGCTTTTTTCTTCCGAACCCTGAAGTCTACATCTTCAACTCTAAACCCAAACCCTAAACTCTAAACCGTAAACTCTAAGATTCCTAGCCCCCAAACTCTAACGCCCAAATCCCTCAACCCTTTTCCCACCAAAAAACACCAAACCTTAAACCCCTGAGCCCTTCAATGCCCAAACCCCAAAACCCCTAAAACCCCCAAACCCCCAAAAGCCCTAAACCCGCAAACCCCTACACCCCAAACCCCTCAACCCTAAGGCCAAACCCCACCTAAACCCCAAACCCCAAACCCCAAACTACACCCTAAACCCTAAACCCTAAACTAAACCCTAAACCCTAAACCCTAAACCCTAAACCCTAAACCCTAAACCCTAAACCCTAAACCCTAAACCCTAAACCCTAAAACATAAACCCTAAACCCTAAACCCTAAACCCTAAACCCTAAACCCTAAACCCTAAACCCTAAACCCTAAACCCTAAACCCTAAACCCTAAACCCTAAACCCTAAACCCTAAACCCTAAACCCTAAACCCAAACCCTGAACCCTGAACCCTATGGTCGCGGGCGTCTGCGCGGCCAAGGTGCGCCTTGAAAGGCCGAAGGCCGCCATCCCGCTTGAGGCGTACCTGGGGTTTCGAGGGTTTTGAGGGTTTAGGGTTTAGGGCTTCGGGGTTTGGGGGGTTTAGGGTTTACGGTTTAGGGTTTAAGGTAGGGTTTAGGGCTTAGGGGGGTTTAGGGTTTAGGGCTTATGTAAAAGGCAGCAAACCAAAACACAGCACAGCGCAGCCTCCAGTTTCTCACTCGGTCTGCTTTGCTGGGACTTGGGGCCTGAGCCAAAAGCCCAAGTTTGAAATGCCAAACTGGATTCCCGCCATTCAGCATGTGATGACTGCAGCCGCGGACCGCGGAGCTGCCGCAATCGGCTTTCCACCAAGATGGCCGGACATGTCGAGCCCGTTCGATTTGAGAGTTCCCTCAAGATCGAAAATGGACCTGGGATCCTCCCTCAGAGCCCCGAACCATGAGAGGCTTGCCTTCTGAACGGCAGGAATAAAGGCTCGATACCTCTTTTGGAACTCTTTGGAGGAACTCCCAAATCGGATAGAGGACCTCCTTGTGAGGATGGCCAGACTTCAACTTGAGGGCCCATTCCCGAGCTGCTTTCGCCAGCCCTGACGCGGCGACGCGACAACCAACGACAACGACTGCGACCAAGGAGGCAAACAAAGTCCATGAGGCATGCTCACAGTTTAGGGTTTGGGGTTTGGGTTGTTTAGGGTGTGGGGTTTAGGGTTTTGGGTTTAGGGGTTAGGGTTTAGGGTTTAGGGCTAGGGAGGTGTGGGGCAAGTCTCGGTTCTCTTTGGTTTGAGTTTCCGTTTAGGGTTTAGGTTTTGAGGGGCTTGGGGATGGTGTTTCGGGTCATAACGTGTAGAGGGTCTAGGGTTTAATCTTCTGGCCAGAATGCACTTTGACTCCCAATTCAATATGGTTGGGATACACTTAGAACCTAGGCATATAACCATAGTAGTACAGGGCTAGTTTACAAGGAGTTCTTGAAACTGGGTCAATCGGGCTCCCGAGAAACGCAACCTGTTGCGATTGCGTTTGTGGTTTGACAAAATCACCCTAAACCCTAAACCCTAAACCCGCAACCCTCAACCCTCAACCCTACTTTCTACTGGGACCGTCAACTAAGTTCATAAAAATTAGGACAAGAACAGGGACGTTTTTAATCGAATTGAAAATGCAGTGAAGACCAACATCCCCAAAAACACCCAAAAACATTAATCACCCCAAAGCCCTCAGATGCGGGCCAAAGCTTACCACCCTGCCCCCTTGGCCCAAAATGCCACAAAAAACACTTGCATCTTATGGTCTTTGGGCCCCGCAACCGACAAACAAACTGGGTTTAGGGGGTTCGAGTTTAGTGTTTAGGGTTTAAGGTTCAGGGTTTAGGGTTTAGGGTTGTGTAAAAACCCCCGAAATCCTGAAGCCTAAGCCCACGAGCCGATACACCCCCCCCCCCCCCCCCCCCGATTGGAGCGCACCACGTACACCACCCGTGGCGGCCCCGAACCACCAGCCTGTGAGGTTTAGGGTTTAGGGTTTAGGGTTTAGGGTTTGGGGTTTGGGGTTTAGGGTTGAGGGTTTGGGGTTTAGGGTTTAGGGTTGAGGGTTTAGGGTTCATTAGGGTCTAGAGGTCTCGTATCTCGGGCTTGCAGGGTAAAATTCCTTGGAGTCGCACCCCACAGGGCCATCCTTCAGAGGCGATCAGCCCCAAAAATCCGCTTAGGGTTGAAGGTTTAGGGTTTAGGGTTTAGGGTTTAGGGTTTAGGGTTTAGGGTTTAGGGTTTACAAAAGCTCCCGTATAGCAAAGCGGGGCTCTCTTCCCCGAAAGCTCCGGTTGACGCCTGAAAAGGGAAAAGGGCTCATCCCAAACCCTAAACCCTACGCGAAACACTAAACCCAAACCCCAAAGCGCCATAAAAATTCCCAAGAGTCACTAAGCTTCAGACCAAGAAATTCAGGAAAAGGTGCCAATGGGAAGCGCATTCCGAAAATGCCTAAAACCCTCCACCGAAAAGTTAAACAAAAAAGTAAACTGGTTCACAAAGAAGGAACCTAAACCCTACCCCCCCCCCCCCCCCCCCCCAAAAAAAAAATAAAAAAAAAAAAAAAAAAAAAAACTGAACCCCCGACGCCAAAAACCACAAGCACAACGAAAGCAAACAATGTTCCAAACCCTAAACCCTAACCCCAAACCCTAAACCCTGAACCCTGACACCTAAACCCTAATGCTCTACTCGAACCCGCAGCTTGGCCCCAAATGCCCTCAACGCAACCTGAGCCCTGAAAACAACAGCTGAACCCTCAGTCCACAGTTGTGCTCCTCGCCAACCCTGCACCCTAAACCCTAAACCCTACAGTTATGTATACCCCTGAACCCCCAGACCCCGAGACTCCCACTGGGGCTCCCGACCACGCGCGCCTCTAGGGCTTTGGGGGCTTATAGGGTTTATAGGGTTCAATAGGGCTTATAGGGTTTATAGGGTTTATAGGTTTATGGGGTTCATAGGGTTTATCGGGATTATGGGGTTTATGGGTTTTTTTAGGGTCTGTAGGGTTTGTAGGGCTTATAGGGTTGATAGGGTTTATAGGGTTTACAGGGTTTGCAGGGTTGATAGGGTTTATAGGCTTTGTAAAGTTTTGCATGTCGGTTGAGGGTTGCGGGTTGGGAGGTTTTGGGGCGTTTAGGGAGCTTTTTAGGGCCAAGGTGTCTGTAGCGATTCGCACGTCTGTGTGTGTCGGCGGCCGGGAGGGGAGGGGGTTTCTCCCCCAAGTTGAAGGGATCTGGGGAAGTCATACCACTTTAAGCCCTGAACCCTATAGGCGTTCACCCTGTAAACCCTAGAACTGCAAACCCTAAACCCTATAGATTGGGATGTTCCCCTTATACTAGCAGTCCTTAATTGGGACAGTACCCCCGTTTATAATCTCTATGAAGGACTTATTATAGGTATAAGGGGGAACATGCCAACCTGTAGGCACTAAGCCTGTTCCCTAGCCCTCCGCGCTAGCACTGCAATCATCACCGTAAGCCTTATGATCGAGGGCCACTTGCCCCAAACACCCATGCACTAGAGCTTGGGTTCTGGCAGGGTTCGTCTTCGCTGTTCGTATACCATACAACGTAGAGGCAGGGGCCTTAAAAATTCGAATAGGGTTTCGGGGGGTTATCACAGTCTAATTTTACAGGGATTTCAAGGGACTAATATTAGAAGTTCTTCCGCCCCCTATAGTAGCTATTTTCAGGTGCATATATATATATATATATATATATATATATATATATAGCCATGCACTCTCAGCATACCTTGGCATTCAAAACCTTTTGGTCGGTCCAGGCTTCGCATGCGCAGAGCCCCCGTGGGCCCCCAAGTGAGGCCGAGAAGGGTCTCTGATGCCATGTGCCTTGCAACAACGCGGGGCTCGCTCTTGCTTCAAGCGGGTGCTTAAAAGGACCCACTCAAAAGACTGTCAACAGAAGCATAAGATCCAAACCCAAATTTTGAACACTCCCGCCTGTTCTTTGAACAGGGGGAGATCTGAAACCTAAACATTTTGAGACACGTCAAACCGGGAAGGCTGAACAGAAGGCCACCTTCATGTTAGACCGCGGCCTTAGCTGGAGACTCCTCTGGGTACTCCCCTGGAGACTCTGAGTTGCACGGCTTCGGAGCCTCCGGCTCTTCGCATGGGCCCTGCGCATCCTTGGCACCGGACGCCCGTGCGGCAAGCCACCGCTTCAGGAGGATCATCGCCACGGCACAGCCGGCAACTGCCAGTGTTACCCAGGCAGCAAAGGGCGTGCCTACTGCCAGCATCGAGGCGGCTCCTATCAAAGTCAACGCGCGAACCAGATCCTTAAACACTTGTGGGTCCACAAACTTTGCCAAGTAGTTTGCAATGGGCGTCGCGATGAGCACCCCAGCAGCTGCAGCTGCATACGAGCCGACCCTGGCTTCGACGAACTTCTCTTCCACGACAAAGAGGAAGATCGCCTTCATCGGTGCCGAGAGACATACCAGGCAGACGAAGTTCGCACGCCACATGTCTTTGTCTATGCCGGAGAAGAGCACAAAGACGATGATCGCCGGCAGGGGGACGTTGTACATGCCTTGGGGACGACATGAACCCTAGAATTGGGGTCATATACCCTGACTACTTTTATTCATCATAAGGTATATGAACCATAAACCTTAAACCCTAGACCCTAAACCCTAAACCCTAAACCCTGAACCCAAGGTGCCTTTCATCAGACCACCAAAGGTGCCCAGCAAGACGGCAGCAGCGAGGCATCGTCCTCTTCGCACGTCAAAGCCTGTGGGCTCCTTCGTAGCCCAGTAACCATATGGGGCTTAGGGTTGAGGGTTTAGGGCTTAGGGCTTAGGGTTTAGGGTTTCGGGTTTCGGGTTTAGGGTTTAGGGTTTAGGGCTACTTTACAAGGGAGCCAGAACCCCAAAAAAAAAAAAGGAAAAGGGTACCGCTGGGCTAGCAAAGCTCAGAAGGTGCCTGCGACTGCGGCCTCCCGCACCTCAGTCGCTGTATGTTGAGCTCAAGGACAAGGATTGTAAGAAGGAACCTCGGATGGCCCCAAACAAACAAAACCCTCTGAGAAGCCATTCCTCAATAGGGCTTGGGGTTTGGGGTTTGGGGGTTTGGGGTTTAGGGTTTAGGGGTTAGGGTTTAGGGTTTAGGGTTTAGGGTTTAGGGTTTAGGGTTTAGGGTTTAGGGTTTAGGGCTAGAACCGAAGGACGGCCCTCTATAGTCTCTGAAACATATTCCTGAATATGATCCTCTTAAAACCCAATAAGGGTTAAGACAAAAGATTTCCCAAGGGCCTGGGAGCAAGCCGAAGGAGCGCTTGAACCAGGGCGACGTCGTGTTCCAGACCAAGACAGCGGTCCCCAGCCTTTAGGGTTTAGGGTTTAGGGTTTAGGGTTTAGGGTTTAGGGTTTTATACAAACAAAATATAAAAATAATTCCCAAGGGGGATATAGCAGCAGCTCGAAGACCGTCCACGGAATCCACACTGCCAGCAAGAAGCGCCAGTCAAGACTCGCTCCTTGGATTTGCCGTCAAAAGGCCCTCCACAGAATAGTCCCCGGACGATGATCCTACTAAATCCCAATCAGGGAAGCGATGATCCTACTAAACCCCAAGAAGGGAAAGTACACAACATGTCCCAAGAGCATACCGAGACTGACCATGATCCTACTGAACCCCAATAAGGGAAAGTATACAAGATGTCCCAAGAGCCTTCCGAGACTCTCAATGTAAGCAGTAAGGGAAAGTATGCAACATGTCCCTAGAGCCTACCGAGACTCTTAACATACCCAAGAAGGGAAAATATACAACACGTTTCAAGGGTAGCTACAGTACTCATTCTAAGGGTCGCCCTAAACCCTAAACCTAAACCCTAAACCCTAAACCCTAATCCCTGTCCCCAAAGGGCCGACCGAGACTCTCAATGTCCAGGCAGGAAAGACCGTGGCGAGGTCAAAGAACACAAACATCGCGGCAAGCTGGTCCAAAGGCCCCATGTCGAGTCCTCAGCGCAAGACCAGGGGTTTAGGGTTTAGGGTTTGGGGTTTAGGTTTTAGGGTTTAGGGTTTAGGGTTTAGGGTCCGCCGACCCTGGCGGCGTGTTGGATGGGAAAAGGAGGTGAAACCTCCTACCCCCCCCGCCCTTACCGCGCTGTCCACCCCAGACCCCCTTCCCCCCCCCCCCACCCCCCTTCCCCCCCCCCCACCCCCCCCCCCCTCCCCCCCCCCCTTCCCCCCCCCCCCCCTCCCCCCCCCCCCGCCCCCCCCCCCCCCCCCACCCCCCCACCCCACCCCCCCCCCCCCCAACAGGAACCGCAAACAAAATCACCAAACCCCAAACCTTAAACTTGTTCTCCTGCGGGGTCGGCGGCTGGAGCCGGAGGCTCTTAAATTTAGGGTTTAGGGTTTAGGGTTTAGGGTTTAGGGTTTAGGGTTTAGGGTTTAGGGTTTAGGGTTTAGGGTTTAGGGTTTAGGGTTTAGGGTTTAGGGTTTAGGGTTTAGGGTTTAGGGTTTAGGGTTTAGGGTTTAGGGTTTAGGGTTTAGGGTTTAGGGTTTAGGGTTTAGGGTTTAGGGTTTAGGGTTTAGGGTTTAGGGTGTCGGGTTTAGGTCAGCGCAAGATTTGCTCCGGGGTCCGATCTAAGGCCCTTGCACGGGTAGCCGGGTAGCTCCGAAAGCACCGAAAGCCACAGAAGCCCCCCCCCCCCTCTCAAAAAAAGGAAAGACCTACACCCTCAAGCCTCAACCCTAAACCCTAAACCCTAACACCCTAACACCCTACATGCAAGGGTCTACGCGCTTATCCCCCAGAGACGGTTGGGCCCAACAAGTCGATATGAGGGGTACCATATTGGGGTCCTTATAAGGGAATCCTACTATTTAGGGGTCCCCTATTTTCGTAAACCCCCATATGCGCGCAGACCCGGGATCCCCCAAATCTCAGAGCCCTTAACACCAAGCTCAGAGTAGCAGAGGCGCCCAAGGCTCCGCACAGCAACATACCTGCTGAAGTTGGAACCCTGGCAAAAATTGCAATTTTAGCTGTTCTTCGGAATTCTAGTGCCCCAAAAAAATTAAGAAAAATATTTCCGAGTATCCCTAGGCTACCTGTAGTGAAGACGATCCCAGGGCCGAAGCCCGCAATGACACCGATGACTCCACTCAAGCAGCTCAAGGACAAGACCACTGCCACCGACTCTGGCGCCATTTGCTCCATGATGCGCTTGCTTGTCTTTGGGGTTGCGTGGGGGGCTTTTAGGGTTTAGGGTTAGGGGTTTTTAGGGTCTAGGGTTTAGGGTTTAGGGTTTAAATCTAGGGTTTAGGGGTATTTGGGGGTTTAGGATGGTTTAGGGATGTTTGGGGTTGAGGGTCTGTGGGGTTGCGTGGGGTGCGTGTTTTTTCTTGGGAGCCCAGGATCCATATGATCATAAGGGCACCCCTTTTTTCGGGGGTTGGCTGCTGTATAAGGGAAACGTGAACCTGCCTATCTTTGGGATGCTGATATGCTGATGTCGATTTGGGAAGCTGGCGACCCCATCTACCGATGCAAGTCTCAGTGACAGATTAACGGAAGCAAGCATATCAAATACAAAACCTTCAGTCCGGCAGTCTAAATCACACAATCACCTCCCGTCCTGCAGTCTAAGCCCTACATGCAAAGTCCCAAGCCGCAAGTCCGAAAGCGTGAACCTTACAACCCTAAACCCTAAACCCTCAACCCTGACCCCTAAACCCTAAACCCTAAACCCTAAACCCGAAACCCTAAACCCGAAACCCTAAACCCTAAACCACAAACCATACACCATAACTCTAACCCCGAATCAAGAAGAGTAAGCCCATCACAAACTCTCTGGGATTTGGCAAGCGAAGCCAGGACTGAGAGATGCTTCTTCTACAAGGTTCACAGTTTCGGGTGTAGGGTTTTAAGGGTTTAGGGTATAGGGTTTGGGGTTTGGGGTTTAGGGTTTAGATGGGTTTAGGGTTTGGGGTTTGGGGGTTTAGGGTTCTTTGCCGCCTGCGCGAAGTGTTTGGGGCTTAGGGTTCAGGGCTTAGGGTTTAGGGAAGGTTCTCCAGGCTTCATATAGGGATTGCTAGCTGTAAGCGCCTTCGTAGTCCGAAGTGTAAGGCTTACAATGGTTTATAAACTTGATGGCTTGTATGGCATACATGGGTTTAGGGTGTGTAGGCCGTAAACCCTAAACCCTAAACCCTAAACCCTCAACCCTAAAGGCTTTGGGGTTAGGCTCCTGCCCGCTGCCTCCACAACATTGCCACGCTGGCCTCGTAGATCTTCATTACGAGACTCAGCCACCTGCCGTGGAGTTGTTCCCGAGGCGGACTACTTACACCCTCTTTTTCCTCGCAGAGGCCGAACCTCACCTTCCAAAGGCCTCCTGACTCAAAGCACAAAACCCTAAACCCTAAACCCTAAACCCTAAACCCTAAACCCAGAGTTCAACAGGCCTCCCAGGGTTCCCACGCGCCCTCTTTCGGCGGGACCTCCCTAGGCTAGGATGTATTTCCTCCACCCAGGTTTAAACCCTAAACCCTAAACCCTAAACCCTAAACCCAGGGGTAAGGAGGGGGACATGGGGAAGAGTTCGTTAAAACTCCACACTCGGCTTGTGAGGACATTCAGGGCACAAAAAAGTGCTTCTGAAGTACTTGGCGGACCGTTGGCAACTCCAGCAAAGCCCTACTTGGAGATTCAGGGTACTCGTACCCCAATTATAAGTGTGGTTTTAACCCACTTATAAGCCCCTTAAGAAGGGTTCTAATTGGGTCATTCTGGATTACTAAGTACCATGAACCTGCAAGTAAACCCTCAAGCCTACACTTAAGGGCCTAAAGCCTAAAGCCTAAACCCTAAAGCCTAAACCCTGAAACCTTAACCCTTAACCCCCCAACCCTAAGCCCAAATTATGGCAAGTATGGCCTAAACTGCCCATTGCTTCGCTCTGCCGTTTGCCAAACCAGAGCCAAGAGCAACCTAGGAATTCAAAGGGTTTAGGGTTGAGGGTAAAGGGTAAAGGTTGCCCTTTTTGGTTTGAAAAGGGCTTTCAAGGAACCCTAAACCCGAAAACAACAAAGGGGATCAGGCCCTGCTTTGGGTCCTGGCAATCCTTCTTGGCCCCTGAAGTTGGATGGAAGGTTTAGGGGCTTCGGGTTTAGGGTTTAGGGTTTCGGGGTGTAAGATCCCATGACGGAGCCCTACTGCCCAGAGAACCAGGTTGTTGGCCTCGACGATGGCGCCTTTGGGCCAAATCGTGTCCTCGCAAGACTTGCCTAGGTTTTTTTGTGGGTTCTTCCTGGGCTCATGAGGTTACACGGGTTATAAGCGCTATACGTGCTATAAGGGCGTGCCCAACAACAACCCTGAACGCTAGACCCTCGCAGGAATTCGGGACATCGGATAAGGAGCTGGCATGCGGGTGAGCAGTTGCAACATGTAAAGGTTTAGGTTGGGATGTGGCCCCTTATACTACCATGAAAAGGATTAGAATAGGGGGGGGGGGGGTAGTATAACCTTTATTAAGGACTGTTCGTAAAAGGGAGAATATCCCAAGGTTTTGGGCCTAGGGTCCAAGAGATGGGTTTCGGCGGTTTAGGGTGTACGGCTGTAGGGTCCACGAGGTTTAGGGGTTTGCAGGTTTAGGGATTGCTGGGTCCGACGGCCTAAACCCCAAACCCTAAGCCCTCAATCCTAAACCCTGAACCCTGAACTTCAACCCTGCCAGGATTAGGGTGCAAGGTTCAAGGGCTCCCACACCCCCCAAAAGAGCTGAGAGCTTCAAGCTTCGGATCACAGCCCACTGCTGCAGCCCGACCCCAACCTTGGGCCAAGATCCACAGTGCTTTACAGCCTCAGAACTCTTCCCCAAACCCTAAACCCTGAGGCCTAAACCCTAAATTCTAAACCCCAAACCCTTAACCCAAACCCCAAAACCCAAACTCCAAGTCTTCGAGTCCCCCCCCCCCCGCCCCCCAAAAGCACTGCACGGCGTCCTCTGCGGCCACGTCTCCTGAAGCATCTATAGAGTTCAGGGAGTACAGTAGGGCTTAGGGTTCACGGCTTAGAGTTTTTGGTTTGGGGAGAGTTTTTGGGTTTTAGGGTTTGGGGTTGAGGGTTTAGGGTTCCACCCCAAAAAAGCTCGGGGAAGCCAAGCAGACGCACTCAACCCTAGACCCAAAAGGATCTTGCTCTCCCGAGGAAGCTATTTTCAGAGCTTCGGGCTTAAGGTTCAGGGTTCTACCCAACGAAACTACTAGAGCTGGTCTGGCTTTAGAATCTGGGGTTGAGGGTTTGGGGTTTGGAAGTCGAGACCTAAGGTTTGCTCCCCTTGTGTTCAGGCTGACACCCCCTTGCAAGCCTAAAGGGAGCTAAACCCCGAAACCCTAAACCCTAAACCCCAAACCCTAAACCCTAAACCTGAAACCCTAAACCCTCAACCCTAGCTGTGGAGGGCGCGCTGCAGCTCCTAAGGGACCTGCAAGGTTGAGGGCTTAGGGCTTGGTGTTTTTGTCAGTTTTTCTTCTCAGACGGGCAAATACCTGAACCCTCCTAAGCCTGAAACGCTCCATCCGACTAGATGCCCTAAACCCTAAACCCTAAACCACTAAACCCTAAACCCTAAACCCTATACCCAAGTTTCGGTCCTGAGCCTGCTGCAGCTGGCCACGAATCACCTGCAGCTGGACTTGCTCACTCTTAGTCGGGCTTTGGTTCCTGTAAAAGGTTTAGGGTTCAGGGTTTAGGGTTCAGGGTTGAGGGTTTAGGGTTTAGGGTTTAGGGTTTAGGGTTTAGGGTTTAGGGTTTAGGGTTTAGGGTTTAGGGTTGGATGGAGGGTTTCAGGCTTGAGATTGGCATGGGGCGACTCGCAAGACCCCTTTACATCACAATGTAGTTGCTACCTCTCAGAATCCCCTTCCATTCGAATTACGTATCCATTTTCTCACATGACTCGGCACGATCTGCTTCCAGAAACCCTAAACCCTAAACCCTAAACCCTTTATAAAGACTTGATTTAGTGTCTGTGCGTCCTCGAACCGGGGTCGGGACGCCCCTAAAGATTTCAAAACAAGCCAAAAACCAAATCAGGTTTAAATATTCATAGGTCGGGAAGGTTTGGGGGTTTGGGTTTTAGGGTTTAGGGATTACGTCGGGTTTAGGGTTTTTGTGGTTTTGGGGTTTTTGGGGTTTTCGGGTTTTGGGGTTTTGAGGCTTTGGGACGTTGGGGCTTCGGGGTTTAGGGTAGGCTTGTCCCATAATCCAATATGCACCCTCCTTTTGCGGCAAGGTCCGAGCCCCAAAAAAGAACAGAACCCAACAGTCTACCCCTAGGGTTTAGGGGTTCGGGCTTAGGGTTTAGGGTTTAGGGTTTCGGGTTTAGGGTTTAGAGTTTAGGGTTTAGGGTTCATTCAGGGTTTAGAGTCTAGGGTCTGAAGCCCCCCAAACCCCCAACTGGGGCGCCCAACGCAGGGCTCCGACCGCCCGGCAGTCGCCGAGGTTGGCGAGGTGCAGGGAGCAGTTGCAGAGAAGGGCCTTGTGTGGCTTAGGGCTTTTGGGTTTTTTGGGTATGGGGTTTCGAGTCTTCACTCTTGGGTGGGGGTATACGTGAAGGTTCATGCGTTTAAGGTTTAGGGTTAGTGGGTTTAGCAGAGTTAGTAGGGTAAGTACCCTAAACACGGTCTCGGAGCACAGTATGGTTTTCTGAACTCTGGTGGTTTAGGGATTTGGGATTGGGATGTAGGATTTGAGTTGGTTTGGGTTGTAGGATTTGGGCCTTAGGGCTTTTAGAGAAGGAGCTGGGCTTTAGGGTTCTGAGGGCTTCGGGTTTGGGGTTCAGGGCTTTGAGGCCTTTTTTGCGGATGTTCGCGTGTAGTAAGGGACGAGGTGCCTTGTGGGGCCGCAGGCTCTAGACTCCCCCCACGGCGGCATGCGACAAGGGCTCGCTTTGCCAGGCATGAGCTGACATGTGTCTTCGCCGCTCTAATACTTCCCAAAAAATATTCAACATGCCCTGGGAATACCCTTGAAGGAAATTAAGGGGCATGGCAAGATCCTTCCTGATACTCTCCTTTTCTAGGTTAAGGGGTACAGTATTGGTTTGGGATATGCTGAATTCTTCTTGGACTAACACGCAACCCTAAACCATAAGGCCCTAAGCCTTCCCCTGAACTCCGTAGGCCTAGCCCCTGCTGCCTGTCTGACACCAA